ACTGTCCCTTTCGTCTCCGCCTTCCTCTCTCCTTTTCCCTCTCCCTCTCCCTCTCGCCATCTCCCTACCCTTCCCCTCCTCTCTCCCTCTCCCTCGGTTGCTCTCCCTCTCCCCATTTCCTACTCTCCCTCTCTCCCCCTCTCTCCCCTTTTCTCTCTGCCTCTCTGCCTCCCCTTCTCCACAACTGCGACCTGGACTACCCCACCACCTGGAGGAGGGCGGCGGACAACTCGTGGCAGCTCGACCTCTGCATGACGAGCTACAGGGACCGCCCGAGGACGGGCTTCATGGGCTTTTGCAACGGGTGGGCGGGGGAGGACGACTTTGAGCACGTCCCGCAGGCCATCCACATGTGCTCGCAGCTCCAGATATGCACAAGGCAGGACTTCTACGTCAATGGCTACAAGTTGGAGAGCCGGAAGATCAACTGGATCTCGAACAACGGCAACTCAACCCCACCGACCGCGAGCTCAACGACGGGATACCCTGCCGGATGGACCCCATGGTCGCACCCCTGGCCCACATGTTCTGCGAATCCAGCGACCTGGAGGTGCTCAAGGCCAACTGCGACCTGAACCCCTCCTACACCGTCAACCTGCAGAGCCTGTGCAACTACTACAGGTTCGATTACGCGAGGAGGAGCGTAGACACCATCGCCACCCTGGTGAACGACGTGCTCTTCACCTACTTCAAGAGGGGCTGTAGCACCTGGGAGGACTACCAGAGAAGGGCGACCTGCGCGCTCAACCATGCACAACACGGTGGACGTTACGGGGTTCACGGCGGGGAGCCTCGACGTCATCCCCTGCGTGGGCTGGAAGAACGGGAGGAACGCGGATTACAGGCCCAAGACCATGCAGGACTTCCTCCTCAGCGCCGACGCCCTCTTTCCCGAGAGCAGCTCGCAGATCAGCCTCAGCGCCGCGGATCTCGGCGTGGCCATCTACGACAACCTCTCAGTACACCGCCCTCACGGATGCAAAGGCCATCGTCGCGGAGGCCATGGGATACCCGGAACCTCTCCTGCGTCCACCTGCGCAACCGGAACAAGATCCTCTACACGGACCCGGTGCCCTACGACGACGGGACCTAACCCACCGACCCGGACCTCCCTGGCATATTCCAGCAGGCGATCAACTTCATGCTTTTAAACCCTAAACCCTGGGGGTGCTGTTCTAAACGGATCTTCCTCGATAACGAACTGGATGTCATACTGCAGGGCGTAAGGCGCACCGACGAGTTGCGCAGTACGACGTGAGCGGGAGCAACAGGGATTTCCTACACGCGGCTACCCATCGATGTTGTCCTTGTACAGCGACCCGTAGAACCTGTCCGCGTTGGCCCGCGGCCGACCCCCGTGCCCGTACGGTAGAAGGTGTGGGACGAGCAGACGGTGAGCTCGGTGAGGTACGCCGGCACTGTCGATGTCCCGAACCTCTCCGTCCTGCAGAAAGAGGCGATATGGGCAGACCCCGGCTCCCGCCCCACGGGCACCAGCAGGAGGTGCAACACCACGAATTGCATTGGGAGCAATGGGGAGGTCACGGTGTGCCTGGGAGGAACCTGTAACGTGAGGATGGCCGACGTGCTCGTACACGCCATCTCCGTCATCCTCAGCAACAAGACGGAGGTGTTCTGCGCATCCGACTATGCCGCAGGAACTTCATGGAACTGCCTCCCTTACTCCAACGGCGAGACGCTCAAGCAGTGCCTCTCCCACCACGAGAGGCCCTCGGCCTACGTCGTGAGCCATGGGGAATCCATCCTCACCCGCCTCACCGCGGAGCAGGTGCTCTCCCCCTTCACCGCCCACTGGGCAGACTGCGAGAGGCCAGAGAGGGGGCCTGCGACAACTTCTCCCGCCTCGTGAATGCCCAGTGCGTCACATGCAATAACCAGCCCCCCTCCCGCACCGGGGTGATGAGCTCCGCGACCAACAACCTCTGCAAGCGGGGGATAAGGAGCAACGACACCTGCACCCAGAGACAGGGCCTCCACCGGCATGTTCAGGACCAACCCGAACAAGGTCGTGGAAGACGATGGACTGGCTCAAGACCTACGACATCGACTCGCGCAGCGACTAGAGCCCCTCGGGCAACGCCGTGACGGGGTCGCAGACTGGTCCTGCCCCGTCCGGGAGATGCATTACTGGGGAGTCGATCGTTCCAAACCTTCCAATCCAAGGCCCTCTATAGCCCCAGGGCGGCCGCAATGTTCTCCGAGGCGATGAGTGAGATCTGCAGCAGCTCCTCCTCGCAGGATGACGCGCGGCTGTCGCTCATTCCGAAGTTCAGTCCCACGGTCTAGCCGTGGCCTCAGGCCTACCGAGTCACCGTACGAGACTCAGTCATTGAGTCATGAATGTCACCGTCCGGCGTACGAGGCTCAGTCATTGAGTCATCAGGGAGTCAAGTTGTCGGCGGGACTGCCCGGGCCCCGCCGGGCCGGGCGTAGCCTGCTACTAGGCTAGGCAAAGCGGAAGTTCAAAGTCCCCTCAGTACCGTTCGGTGATCGTATGTTGACTTGAAGCCTTGAAGGCTTCGGGCCCATGTTGAAATCATCTGGCTGCCTTCAAAGTACTCAAAGTTGCCAATACCTTGTGACTGTGTTAGTGCCTGACTCAGTGAAGTGACCGCCCGAGTCTCACCCCCGGGGGGCCCGGGGTGTGATTGCCGCGCGAGCTTCCGAGTTCCGGAGGGCCCGGCGGTCCCGAGTCCGACTTGGCATTGCTTGGTGTCAGTAACCGGAGGGTCCTTGCGTTACTCATCAATCTTCCCCACCGCCATCACCCTCGCCATCAGAGGCCGGGGAGGGCCGCCGCTCCCCGGTGACTCTCGGAGCCCGCCGGGCCGGCAGATCCGCCGCCGGGGTTAAAGTATGGTAGGCTCAGTCGCGGGCAATGACTTGCTGACTCTGTGGGTCAGGGCCGGGCCGCCCACCGTGAGTCACTCTGCGCGGCGGCCGGGCTGAACGTACCGTACCGGCGGCAGTAGGAAGCAAGGCTTGATATTGTAATGAGAGTAAATCTCATCCTCCTTTATGACTGCCCGGCCGGCCCGTCGCTGAGTCAGTGGGAGCGATGTAGGTAGACATCGGTTGATACTTGATGATGAGCGGCTGAAAAGCTCATCTTGCTCTCCTTAGTAGAGGCCTTGAGGGGCGTGGGAGGTTAAGGGAGAAGGAGAGGAGGACCCAGCTCATTAGCTCCACAACCCGGGAAGATCGCCCCTTTTCCTTTTTCTTTTTTTTCTTTTTTTTGCTTTTTTTT